CTTCGGCCTTCTAGAAAAATCAGGAAAAATATATTTTAGAAAGATAAATGTCTTATCTTTCCAACCATATATAGCACGTAACTTGGAAAATTCGGGAAGGCTTCCGTTTCTTCATATTCACATAACATGTACGAAACTGTCCTGTCTGCATGTGGGCTAACTTTACTTGTAATACTGTACCAATTGGCTTGGTAGAAAATTCTAGAAAAATCACAGATTGAACTTCAAGGTGTTAGCTTTCATCTCCAATTGGCCTTGCGCTAAAATTCCTCCGAAAAGTTGATTTTCCCTTAAAAACCTTCTAAGAGCGCAGAAAAGCTGAAAATCAGAAAAGTGAAGTAATAAGCCCTTTTTAAATCTAATTTTTCTACAAACCTAAGTAAAAAGAGTACATAAATGAGTATATTTATGGACTTATCAAAGGTCAAAGAGGTGAAAAGTTTAGAAAGTTTAGAATGAATGTCCAGTTTAAAGTATTATGATGGTTATTATTATTTTTGGAATAGAACTCAAAGTTTTCATTATGTCTTAGGGATTGCTACTTTCAAGAAAGGGAGGAGGTGAAGATGAAAATAACCGTCGAAAATGCATATCGCAGATCGATTGAAACTGTGGTTGATTGGATTGGTAGTGAAGTGAACACGAGCAAAACTTATGTCCTTTTTCGAACTTATGCTCCTATGCATTTCAGGTTTGCCGGATCATTTGTCCCACTAGTCTCCTTCATATTGTTTGTTTCTCTGTCACGCCATATTACAGTTTGGTTTGCCCTTAAAGGCCTTTTGTGTTTTTCATAACTTTGTATAGGAGTTTAAACATTGCATTTTATGCGATGTTTTCGTGGACTTGATGTAGTAAATTGGCTGTAGATGTAACAGAGGCGGCGATTTGGAATTCTGGTGGGGGTTGTCACATGGAAGCTCTGCCCGACTTAGGTTCATTGCCTGTTTTACCCCACAGTCCTATAGTTATGACCATCTTTGATGTGTTATCGGAGCGATCGAATGAGTCTCATGTTAGGAAGTTGGATTTACTGAATGTGTGTCCCAGCCAAGAAAAGAGGTTGTATCCGAAGACATGGAAAGAGATGTTTTTATGTCAGCAACAGAAGCCCAAGCTCATCTTTATTACATTAGCTAAAACTTATTTGTTCTTGTTCATTCCTATCACAACAAGATGGACTTTACCTGGTGTGCCTACCTGCATCAAGACTGCAGCCACTGGTGCCAGAGAATGGCCAGAGAATGGCCAGAGAATGGCCAGCCTCTGTCCAGCATCAAGACTGCCGCCACTGGGGTCCCTGATTCATGGAATGAGCTTCTTTATGAATCTCTCAAAACATCTTCCTGATGACAATTATAATAGTACTCCAATGTACAAAGGGAAAATGAATGGAACATTTTGCATCCACAATAACCAGCAAAATTCTGACATGAATCTGTCAGTCTGTAGCCTTGGTTTGTTCAACCATGCTCTGCTCAAGCATTTGAGGGGTTTTACTTAACAAGGGGAAGATTGGAAAGGAGGTGAAATTGTAATTTGACCCTCCGAGTCTTGATGACTGCTATCGATACGCTAACCGGTAAAGTGAAGAAGAATTACGTGGTGATAATTCACAAATGGTTCTGGTTATTTTCACAGGATGTAATCATACTAAAAATGAAAAAGGTTTATAGTCCTTGAAGATATCAGAGCTTGTTCTTGTATCAGGAGACACAATTCAATCATCAATTTTTTGTATTTGTAATATCTTTGAAACAATAAATGTGTTTGCCTGTCAAGTCATACATGTGTTTTGCCTTTATCATTTCTTCTTTCTTCATGGAATAAATGTACCAAAAACCAATCAGTGCACTGATATCTTCATGTCCGACAGGCACAAAACCATGAATGCATTCTTTAAAAGGAAAGAAAGGATTGAAATATGAAAGGAAAGGATTTTTCGTACACGGAAATCTGACAATGCAGCAGCAGCATCTACTACTAGTAGCTAGTGGAAATCAAACTCATTGAACAGAGAGGCCAAGCCAATGGCTCAGTCAGTAAATGGGTATTGCTCATACCTTATTGCACAATCACGAAGAACCGCTCGACCCCCTATCGCATTTTGACACGTGCCTAGCATATCTGTTTTTGCAGCACCAAGACAAGTAGTGCAATCTGGGGTTGTGATGTTTTGGTTACAAGAAGCATGCCCATATGCAAACGCATTAGGGTAAGGGGATATGTCGTAGAAGTCATAATTCTTGTGTGTTGATGTTGCAGTCTCCAACTCCTGAAGAACATAGGCTAGGCTTACAGCAAAAGGATCACCAGCTGTATACACTCCAGAGTTGCAGAGAACGCTTGTTATATTTGTATCTGGAGTGCTTGTGGCCTCACCGAAGAACCCAATGAAGACGACGAGGATTATAGTTGCTGCAATTTTCATGAGATGAATGGCCATTTTCTCTGTTTCTCTTGTTGTGATATGCGTCTTGATCTTATCAGACTTGTTTTGAAGTTCTGAATTAGATTTTTTTATGAGTCTTCAGACATCACTCCAATTATATGTTACTCCGTCAACATCAATAAAATTATGCTGATATTTGTCATACTTGATTGGCCTTATCTTAACGGTCCTATTCCATTTGTACATTTGCCTTCTTTTAATAAGAAATTTACAGAAAATTTGGCTTAAAATAAATCAATAAAACTGATTTCAAACACAGGGGAATATTCCTATTGCTTCTACAAAATTGAATTTAAGACCTCAGCCTTGATGGAGTCGTCATCCTATCTTGTTTGGCCTGCGGTTCTGTGCAGGGACCTTGGCAGAGATTTAGGCCAAACCTATATATCAATCTATTTTGTACAATATATATATTTCTTTTGGTTTGGTCAATATGGTCCTAATTTCGGCACAGCCCGTCCAAATTCAATTTCTTTTTTCCATCTTTTTCCCCATTTAAAATTTATAAAAATGAAACTGAAACTGGCCTTGTAAAATCTCAACCATCCAATATTATATTATATACTCTTTCACTAAGTTCTTCTTTCATCCAAAACGTGCTGACACCATTGTAAACAATGAGGAAAGTAAGGAGGGGTAGTAGAAAATACATAGCGTCCGCACGGTAATAACGTCCGAACCTCCGCATAGGAGAAAATCTAATCTTTCAATTATAATGAAGTAATTTGTCATAGTTTCAGTTACACAGCTAATCTACATCACACACACACACACACAAAGAGATATATATATATATAGCCCCTTTCTATTGAGGAATCTCTCAAATAATTTTATTCGAGGGACACCCTTTAGGGTCTTCTACAATTTTTTTTTCAACGATCCAAACAATCTATTTTTTAAGTCTACATTCATAGATCATCCTTGCAAAAAATTAGACAAATCGGAAACCGTTTCGACATCCAATTGTGTCCTACAAAATCAATGAACACAATGCTTCAAGAAAGTACTAAAATTTTAATAATTCAATTGAGTGGTCAAATGATATCGAATTCAAGTAATATTTTGTAGAGATGATCTTCGAATGAATATCTACAAAATAGACTTTTGGATACTACAAGGGTGTTCTTCATTGTGGGCTGATCACCAAACTTCATTATCACTTAAGTGCATGCCCACAACTCAGAAACATGCATGGTTTGCAGGGTCATGTCATGCAAGGTTGATCAACAACAGCATGGGCGGAACCACTATGTGGGGTCCGTTGGGCTGTAGCCTATTGATGTTTTTGGTGGAAAAAAAAAATCATACCTATATATAAGCCAGTATCTTAATTTAAAAATAAATAAAAATACACGATTAAGAGAACGATGCTTGAGAGTAAGAACAAAAAAATTTGGTGGAAGATGATCCTACATGATTTTTTTCAATGTCAATGGTTAGATTGAGACTCACAACGACTCTTTTTCATTTTTTTGGTATGAGGCTCACAAATTGACTTGCTAATAACAGAACATAATGTCCCCTTCATAACAATTAATACCAATCTTAAAATCCAAATCAACAAATGCTGTCAGATATTAAAACATCTGCCATGCATGATGCGAGGAAGAAATGTTTTGAAACTAATTTCAAATGCTAAGAAAACAAAACAAATAAAGGAAGAGGAAAAAACACCAGCTGTTGGAGAAGCTATTGGTTTTTCAGAATCAGGATTTGAGGCTTTGTCGTTTTTCATTTGGATGTTTGAGATTGTACATTATTTTGTTCCCTCGTAAATGTCTTTCTCTGCGTCTTTCTCCTTTCTCTCTCTCACATGTCACAAACGTCAGCTGTTTAAAAAGTTGCAACGTTTTGAATGATTGAATGATCTCATTTTTCTTGGTAAAAAAAAAAAAGCAAATAACTGTGATGCAGTTTATGAAGAAAACCCAATTCGAAAAGTACTGGCTTTGAGCCATTAATGGTTAGTCTCTTGCTTTCTCAGGAGAATTGAACTCCACTTCTCCTCACTTCTCAAAGAAATGGATAATAGCAAACCTTCACCTCCAAAGGACGCAGAAGACACAAAGACCCAATTGCAGTTCTTCAAGAAATTCAAGCCTTCTTTGGGCATTCTTGGCTTCTTTATTTTTGGTCACTCTTCTCTCTTCATCGGCCGCTTCTCCTACTTGGATTACAATACAGTTCTTAGCGGGATTCGTTCTCGTGGGGTTGCCTTGCTGGGTTTTTGATGATTTATGTGTTAATGAGAACGAACTGTGTGCCATCTGCTCCAACCCAAAAAAAATAAATAATAAATAATAAATAATGGGTCTAGGCGCCCGCCTAGACGCTAGGCGGCCTGGGCGGATTCTTTTTTGTTTTTTTGGTTTTTTCTTTTGGTTTAATATTTGTAATTATTTAATATCTCCTTAACATTGCTCCAAGGCCCTGCACCAACGGAATTGCCAGGGTTCAATATCTCCTTCACATGCTCCCAGAAAGGCGAACCAAGAAGACTGCCAACAAACCACAATATCAGAAAGTTGTAATGGTAAACTTTATAAAGGAAAAGAAAAGGTGTAGTTGGAATACTAAAGGAAATTTTTTTGGGTCAGCAGAGAAAAGAGCACCCTTTTGGTTTCATTAGCGGACAATGAGTTTTCATCTTTAAAAATGCAAAAATGCTGCAAGTTAAGAAATTGTGACCTTGCAAGAATGCTCGGAAATTAATGACAAGAGATAAGTGGTGGTGAGAACAGGTTGCATTCCTGATGGGTTAATGGTAAAAGGGATATATGGCTCCACTTCAGTAACAGGCGAGTCATCTCTGTCCAAAACACATCAGACCAGAAAATAATGTCAGCCAACAGAGTTATCCAAATATATATATATATATATTTTCAAAGCTCAAATTATAGAAGATGTGCAAATTGTTTCTACTAGGCTGTTAGTTGATACAAAGATCAGTTTATAAGCAATATCTGCTATACATCTAACATTACTATAAAGAACAACCATCTTCATAATCAGTAACACCACATGCATACAGAAAACGCATGCATTGTGCAGTTTCTTTCACTACAAACGATCATTGGCCATCAAAATGGTAACGAATGTATTACCTTGCAGCAGAAGCAATCTTAAAACCATAGTACTGCAGCTTTATCTTCCTGCAACCTTCAGTTACCACAACTGCCCACATAGTGACTACAGTGAAAACACCCAATACTGCAAGCAATAGTGAAAACACCCACTACTGCAAGTGAGTACGGACCCCAACTAACAGAACCTCCTGCAATAAAAGCATGAAACCAGTAAACTTACAACAAACTTGAAGTTAAATGGTATTGGACAGAGTACTAATGATATGACACACAAAGTCACAAAATAAAACCTAACATCTGAGATTCCTCCGCCGAATCTC